TTATATCTGTTAGGTAGCACTAAACCCCGATTGGCGGGGTTCATTAACATCCTTTGTCCCCAAACCATGGCTTGCATGCTCCAATGGCTGGATTCCCATCAGATATTTTGCTTGGTTTTTTGCTTAGCACCAACCATTGAAGCCAATTATATCACTCAGCTATCTCAAAAAGATATTAAGATTAAATGGAAAGAGTGTTCCAGGTAGTCCTCAACTTACGACAACAATTAAGCCCAAAATTTCTGTTGCTAAGTGAGAACTTTGTTAGGTGAGTTTTGCCCCATTTTACAACTGTTTTGTCACATTTGTTAAATGAATCGCTGCAGTTGTCATATTAGTGTTGTGAACTGAATCTGGTTTCCCCACTGACTTTGCTTGTTAGAAGGTCGCAAAAGGGGATCCCATGACTCCGAGACACTGCAACCAGTCATAAATACGAGTCAGCTGTCAAAGCATCCAAATGCAAATCGCATGATTTGCACAGCAATGCTGCAAAAGTCCTAAGTGTGAAAAATGGTCATAAGTCACTTTTTTTCCAATGCCGGTGTAGCTTCAAACGATCACTAAATGAAATGTTGTAAGTCAAGGACTACAGTACCTGTACTTCTATTGTAAATAGTTACACATAGCACAATAGATTGCTGTAACATCTAGGCTAGTGTTCCTCACCCTCTGGAGATGTGTGGGCTTCAAATCTCAGAATTCCCCACCTAGCATCGATAGACTTTAATTCACAATTCCACTTCAACATGTTAGCAGTTGAAATCCACGAATTTCAAAAGTCAAGGAGCTGGGAAACACTGATGGAGGCAGCCCATTTGACTCAGTGGTTCTATGGGAGGGTCATTTCCAACTCTCCCCCCCCCTCAAATGGCAGAAAGTGAAGCTGGCATTTCTTTCTGCAAAGCAGGTAGCAAAGCCCACGCTATGCTTTTCCAGGCAGCAGGGCCTGAAAATCCTGGTACTTTTAACCCAGATTGGGTTTAGTCCTCCAAAAGTTACAAGCCTCTGCAATACACCAGCACAAATAATAATAATAATAATAATAATAATAATAATAATAATAATAATAATAATAATAATAAAAATAAAATAAAATAAAATAAAAGTTGGAAGGGACCTTGGAGGTCATCTAGTCCAACCCCTTGCTCAGGCAGGAAAGCCTGTACCATTTTGGACAAATGGCTGTCCAGTCTCTTCTTAAAAACTTCCAGTGTTGGAGCATTCACCGCTTCTGGAGGCAGGTTGTTCCACTGGTTAATTGTTCTCACTGTCAGGAAGTTTCTCCTTAGTTCTAGGTTGCTTCTCTCTTTGGTTAGTTTCCACCCGTTGCTTCTTGTCCTGCCTTCAGGCGCTTTGGAGAATAGCTTGACT